CGGCTGTCTGGAGGAAATGTAAGTGTTTCCCTGCAGACAGAGGCCCCGGAGATGTGCGAGAGACTGGGGGGGGGGGAAGAAAGTGAGGGAGAAAGATCGACCGACGCTGAGAGCTTGTCTGCATTGGTCGGTCGGTCTCTCTCATGCTTCCCTTCCTCCTCTGAGCATCGGTCTGTGTGTGTTTCTCACTCTTTCCCCCCCTCCTCCTCTCAGAGAAGGGGGAGGGAGGGGGGGAGTGAGAGAGACCGAGGGACGCTGGGGGGGGTTAAGAATAGGGTTGCCACCTGTCCAGGATTCACCCGAACCAGGACTCATCCCCCCCACAAAAAAATGTCCATGCGTCGCTAGAGTGTACGGGTTTTGCTTGAAGAAAGCCCAGCCTGTATAAGCAGATATAATCACTGCGGACAACCAGACCCTGCACACTGTGCTGAAATTTCTTTAAATTAGAGAAATGAATTATATTACGGAATATTACACTGTAATGTTCCCTAATACAATCTATTTCTCTATCCCAGCTTTGGATAATATTTTGCATTTACTTTGTATCGCCTGACGCCCGGGACATGCAGTTCCAGTGGGGGGGGGGCTGGGAGAGAGCACCCCCCTGAAATGATGGCAGATAACACAGGAAACAATAGCTTCTTTGCTATCTGCAGGGTTTTTTTTCTGACAGCGGCTCCCGATGTCAGAAAAGAAAAAAAAAAAGGATCGCAGGGAAAGGTTTATCTGCAGATAAACCTTTCAACCTTTCCGGGAGGAAGTGTTTCTCTCCCGGAGCGTCCGGGAGGGTTGGGATGTCTGAGTGTGTGTGTGTGTGGGGGGGGGGGGGGGGGGGGGGGGGGGGGTAATAATATGCTGCCCATCATTTACTGCCATGGACGGTATATTATTGACGGTCACAATTACAAACAAATACTTTGTAAATAAATTCCGGTTTCCTTGGTAATCCCGTCTGTACGTAAGCACGGATACTGGGTCAGCGCTCTCGACAGAACACCGCACTAACTTTTTAAATAAGCAGCTGCCCGAGGTCCCACGCTTGCTGGGGATCTCGGCAACCTTCTTGTTAACCATGCGGTGCCATGCCGGTGGGGGCGGGGGGGCGAGGGGGGGCGTACATGGTTTCTTGCACCGGGGCCCTGAAGGTTCTAGTTACGCCTCTGTCCAGAGGTCTTCTATGTTCCAGGAACCTCCAGAAGACATCAGCTTCTCTGGTTCTCCTCCTCTGGCAAACAACACAGGCCACAGGAATTAACCAGATAAATTCCCCAATAATCCAACCAGGCTGACTACAGCCCTGGCAATCACTATATGTCTAGTAGCCACCTCACAAAAGGTGATGGGGGCTACACAATGAATACTTTGAAATTCCAAAAAAGTGATATCTTTGTATTTTAGGCTGGTCTCCTGATTGAACCAGAAAAAGGTAAGAAGAGTACAGTTCACCTTCGGTTCCCCTTCTACCATTACAATGCATGCTTTTACTCAAATCAGTAGGGCACATGTCACATCCTATTGTAATATTAGCCACGAAAAATGCTCCTCACAAGCACCTAAAGCCTAAACAAAGACCACATGATTAGGAGCCATCAGTGGTATTGTGGATGTTTTATGTTATTGGAGATTGCGGACGGTTTTCAATCAGATAAACCCTTTCATCAGCTAAAAAAAGGAGGGTCTGGAATGGCACAACCACAACCAGGTAGCGAAGACCATATATGTAATAGATACTGTAAATATGGCTACCTCCATGTACATTTATGATTTTAAAATGTTTGCACAAACAAGGATTTAGACCATAAAACACACACTATTAGGTCTTTTACAATAAGCTGACCTCCGATAACCTTATCTGAATGGACTTGTTCTCTTGAAACCCTTGTTTTGCTGTAGGAACAGCACTGCTGTTTTTTAATATATAATAAATGCTTCACAGACAGAATTTTATTGTGTGTCTTCCAAATATACAGACAATTTTAACCTGCATGGGCCTGTGCTAGTTTCAGACACTCATTTGCATGCACTAGTTCTACAAGCAGGTACATATTTCTATCTAGGCTGGCAAAGCTGCCAGGGGGATGCGAGACATCCTTTTGTTGACTGGGCTTTTACACCTAAAACCAAACTGCTAGCAGACACAGAGTGGACAAACTGTCTATTTTCAATCTCTCCAGCCCCAGCACTGGTGTAACTCATGTGATCTTGTGATTCTAAGGCTAGGGAGACCCCGGGGAGTGCAGGTCAGCAGCACAAGAACCTGGCCTGAGGGGGAAAGAAGGAAGTATTATTTTGGTCTGGCAATATATAGCTATTCTAAGCCAATACTCACCTCTCTTATGTTCATCAATATGATGATGTAAACAGGGTTAGGCAAACTCCGGCCCTCCGGATGTGGTGAAACTACCAATCCCATCATGCATCTGCCCCTGGGGGTCATGTCTGTGGCTGTCAAAATATTGCATTGCCTAATGGGATTTGTACTTGCACCACAGCTGGAGGTCTAGAGTTTATAAATAAATATATTTCTGACAGATATATAGACAATTTGTAATCTTACCATGACTTTGACATGTAGGTTGTGTATTTCCAGGAGGAGTATTTGTGCCTTCAATCTTTTCACCAATTGCATTAACACACCAACAGTACCCGGTGCTGCCATGACACTGCATTGGACGGTAATTGCCCTGTTCATCACATTGAGGAATATAACGACCTATCGCAATCCTCTTTCCTCCCAGAGCTTCCTGACGCTCCTTCAAACATTTTGTTAAGACTGTTAACAAATAGAGAGAAGAACAGAGACTACAATGAACACACTTATAAGGCCCCTTTCACATGGGCTGATCAAGAGGAGATCTGTACACAGATCGCCTCCTGATCGAAGCAGTACAAATCAGATGTCACTGTTGTGTCATCCATGTCCTTCCAGCTTTTTCCTCCATCTTGTGATGGAGGAAAAACTGAAATGGCCAGACCCCATGTCTGTCTATGGGGAATCGGATTTAAAAGGACATATGTTCGTTTACAAATTACCCCTGATGCGGCAGAATCAGGTCCGTAGAAACAAAACACTGTTCCGTTTTTTTTTTCCAGACCTATCCAGAGTAAGAGGTAACTGAATGTAAACGGACGCCTTGTCCGTTTAGACCCTGCCGCCCATAGACTACCACTGGGTATGTGATTGTGTCCACCTGAAAAACTGATGGGCAGACCTGATCGGAATGCCCCTGTGAAAGGCTGGATGATCTGGTTTGTGGTTAGCAGACCTGGTCCCACAGCAACCCGTCAGTAACATATGCCCTTACAAACCAGAACATGGCTTGAGGTCTCAACAAGCAGAAGGCACTGATGAGGCTGACAGACTTTTTCCCTGCTCAGATAGAGGAGAGCCTCAAGATGGTGCCAACTCCCGCAAGGAGAATTCTACCTCAGACACTAAGTTCCAAAAAACACTCTCTGGTAAGCGGTTTATCTCGCGGATTTCCGCTCCAAAATTGCACATATTTCCACGCGATATCGCTCTATGTAGTTAGTCCAATGCATTTCAATGGAGCTGTTCACATCTTACAGCTCAATGTCACCTGTAGCTCGTCGCTGTAGCTTGTCGCTCGAACATGGCCCTTTTTTGCGCGCATGTCGCGCGATTTTGCTCCTGATTGCTTACAGCCCAATGTTAACAGCTACGAAAAGTTGTGCAACGTAGCGCAATAAGTCGCGCAATATCGCGCATATAAAATCGCGCTGCAAAACGTCGCTCAGTGTGAATGGGGCCTGAAACTGTCTCAGAGATGGAAGACACCTTATCTGACTCCCAAACTGACTCTAAAGATTTGATCGAATTACCTGCATCTCCCCACCACGGTCTTCTAACATGAATAAACTTGTGAGTATAAAACAGCTCAACATAACACTGACCCTCACACAAGAGGTACCTGAGCAGTTTGCAGCTCTGATTCCCATCATCAGATCACCCAAAACACAGCAATGAGCAAATGCGCTTAAAGGAGAACTATGGGGTCAGTGTTTTTCCCCATAGTTCTCCTTGGGGTAACGGGAGGACACAAACTAGCATCCTCCCGTCACCCTAAGCTCAGTATACCGCGAGCTACAGCTCGCGGTATACTGAGACGCCGCACCTGGAGCGGATCCCGACTTAGATGACGGGATCCGCCCAGCTGCGTGAGTGACAGCTGGCTCTGCCTATCTAGTGGCAGAGCCAGCTGTACCCGCCCCCTCCCCCGTCCGTTCCGCCAGTCAGCGCTGGCAGATCGGAGCGGGGAGAGGGGAATCCAGCCCCTCCCCCTGTCACGGCAGAGAGCCGTGACAGGATCGAGAGGTGAGGGAACCCGGTATGTTTTCCCTCACCTCCCGATCTACTGAGCCGACCTGTGACAGTCTCATTGTCACAGGTCAGCTTAGAACTATGACGTGAGTGGAAATCACTCATGTCATAGTTCTCCTTTAACTCTAAGACAGGAATTGATGCAAGGTTTAACTACTACTGTTACCCACATTGAATCCCAAGATGTTAATATAGAAGAGCATATAAAGTACATCATAAATGTAAAATGAGTGAATATGCTACAGCATATACAGTAAGTTGGTTCATGTGAAAACTGCTCAAACCTCCGAGCTCCAATTACTCAAAGATAAGATATCCGACTTGGAAGACTGGTGCAGGAGAAATATTGTTAAATTGCTGAATCTGTCACCCCTAGTGAGCTCCGTACATATCTCCAACAACTCTTTAAAGCACTGCTACCATTGCATCAAGTCAGGGATTTTATCTTTGACAGGGCACACAGAATAGTTAAGCACAAACACCTGCTTAACACAGTTCCAAAATATGTTCTGGACAGAGTACACCTTTTTCACATCAAAGAAAACTTATGGTTGATGCTAGGAAATTGGACACCCTCCCAGATCCATATCTCTTTATTTGCTGATAGCTCTGCAAATACTGCTCAGAAGAGAAAGTAATTCATGCCTATTAATAATCTGTTATAAAAATATTCCCTACAGATCCAAATACCTTGCCAATACTCAAAAATCATGGCTTGGAAAACAGGAAGGACGCAGCAGCTTTATTCTCTATCTTATTCAATACGACAGAGTATATACCATATATATATATATAACAGAACTTATTAACAATGCCATGTACTGACCGAAATTGTATACTGCAGAAGTTGTTGCTATAAACACAGTAATGTGTATTCTAACAACAACTCCTTAAATTCCACCACAAAAAAGTGTTAAGGATGGTCTGGGGCTACAGGCTCTTGCTGCTTAACCATCGGGATCCCTTTGCCCAGAAGTGTAAAAATACCTTCATCTCCAACGTTTTCTGTCCTCTATGCAGACAAAAGAAAATCCCCTTATGAAGGAACTTATCTTTCACATGTTTTGCCCACTGTGAATTGGCAAAAAAAAACCTACTGCACAGATAGTACTATACTCCCCAAAAGCTAGCTGCAATTTTCCCAATAGAATTTCCAATGTGCTGCTAACACATTGGCTGTCTACAACATATTTGGTGAAGCTGCAGATTAATAACTGTCTTCTGGAGAGACATTATCCAGTTTATTGTTATTGCATCAGTTACTCACATCTCCTGCACCACTGATCCTAAACTGGCACTTTTGGGAATAGGGATTTAATACTGGCTCTATGAGAAGTGTATCTTTCTCACCCACACATAGCACCACAATACACACAATAGCAGCCAGACTCTCTGCAGCTAGACTATGAAAACAAAACGACTCCTCTACATTAATATCTGTGATACAAACTCTTAAAACCCATTCCACCTACAAACTTCTCTTTGCTAATGCACACTACCAATGGACTTAAAGGAGAACTATGACGTGAGTGCTTTGCACTCAGCCTCATAGTTCTAGCCGACCTGTGACTGAGCCGACTGTCACAGGTCGGCTCAGTAGATCGGGAAGTAAGCGAACACATACCGGCGTTCGCTCACTTCTCGATCCTGTCACGGTGCTCTGCCGTGACAGGGGAGTGGCTGGATTCCCCCCTCTCCGCTCCGATCCTCCAGCGCTGACTGGCGGAACGGACAGGGGAGGGGGCAGGTACAGCTGGCTCTGCCTTTAGATAGGCAGAGCCAGCTGTCACTCACACAGCTGGGCGGATCCAGACATTATTGTCGGGATCCGCTTCAGCTGCGGCTGTTCTCCCGTTACCCTAAGGAGAACTATGGGTAAAAGCCCTAATCCCATAGTTCTCCTTTAATTCTAGAAAACTGGAATTGTTGGCCTTCTTCTCAAATGTACAGCATAATACATCCACTCCTACTAAGATGGTAGCTCCGAGAATGCCCAAAGTTACTTGTTCTTTCTTAGCATAGTTGTTAAAGTTCTACAACTTATTCATAACCTTATTTGCAACAACTTCATTTGATATTCACGATTGGACATAGTAAGGGAAAATATTCACAACGTATTCTTATGTCATGATGATATGTTATGCATGGGGCTTGCCCCACTGTCCTGGAAATTTTATATGTATCTCGTGGTGATACCTTACGTTTGTACCTCTTCACTAAACACTGTTTGCAATAAATGTCAACGTTAGAAAAAAAAATATTTAAAATTATACCAGTGAGGTGTATCCACAGCCATGTCCTTTCCCAGGGTGACAACGCTCAAAGCTTAGCTCAGCTGCAGAATTGCAAACCTTTTCTGCATACTGGTGAGCTGAATTACAATGTGCAGTGTACAGGGTGCAGGGGTGATTTACTACAGGCAAATAAGCTGATCACTTTGTAGGGGAATTTTACCCTAGCTTAGTGCATGTGGTAAAGCTCTGCTGACTTCCATCATCCAATCATGTGCAAACAAAATAACTCATGAGCACTGTATAAACTTTTTTCTTATACGTATATACTCGAGTATAAGCCGTCCCGAATATAAGCCGAGGTACCTAATTTTACCACAAAAAACTGGGAAAAAATATTGACTCAAGTATAAGCCTAGGGTGGGAAATGAGGCAGCTACTGGTAAATGTACAAAATGAAGATAGATACCAATAAAATTACATGAATATTTATTTAAAAGAAAAACAATAACCTAGCTCTGTAAGTGGAAAAGGGGGTACAGGGCTACATATCATGTACTACGGATCATTTAACCCATTCATATTAGCAGAGGATAATTGTAAATCTATTGTTCAGTGCATTCTACACTGTAGAGCATTTTTCAGCACAAAAAATGGGCTGAAAAACTCGGCTTATACTCGAGTATATACGGTATGTTGTTTCGGGTTGTAGAGGTCCGCACCTTTTAAATACTAGCAGTTTATAGAATATTTAATTTCCGGTGAGTCCCATGGCTATCCTGTTTTTAGTGTGCTGTTAAATATGCAGACAAATTGTAGAACTGAGTCTTACCCTGACTTGGACATGTAGGTGGTGTCTGTACAGGTGTGGTATTTGTGCCTTCAATCTTTTCACCATTTGCATTAACACACCAGCAGTACCCGGTGCTGGCATGGCACTGCACTGGATGGTAATTGCCCTTCTCATCACACTGAGGAATATAACGACCTTTCACCATCTTATCTCCTCCCAGAGATTCCTGACGATGCTTCAAGCATTTTGTTAACTCTGTTATCATATAGAGGAAAGAACAGAGATTACAGTGAACACTCATAAGTCTTTAAACTTTTAGAAACAATAGCAATGTAACAAGGGCATGAATTTATTGGAATTAAAATGATTAAAGTGTATCTAAATTCAACAAGTTAAATCAAATATGTTGTTACACATGTCTCTTAAAAAGTATTTTATGTTGTTATGTTTGTTATTGTGCGCTGATTTCAATTCAATCTCACCAGTAAGGTGTAACCACAGCCCTTTCCTTTTCCAGGGTAACAATGCTTAATTCAGCTGCACAGCTGCAACATTGTCACCCTTTCCTGTATACTGCCCAAGCTAAATTACAAGCAGCAGTGTCATCGTGCAGTGTGCTAGCACGTTCTGCTGTAGTCATCATAGTAAAATTGTGATGTCGAGCTACTGCTAGAGTGTGACCTCATCTAAAGGAAGCTCGTACAAAGAGTCGGCAAGATGTGCACAATGCTGGGAGAGAAAACATGAGCAAAGTACTCACAGCACTTTACAAAACTGATATTCTTTTGTGAGAGTTTAATTCTACTTTAAGGAATGCAAAGTTTAAACATTGTATGGACTGTTTGAATGATGTGGAGCCATACAAATTCTTGTGGTTGGTATACCCCTTCCCTCCCTCCCCCTCTTGGATTATTTGTCTGCTGGCTTGCTACTGGGTTTTTGTTTTTGGTTTCTTCTTTTTTTTGTTTTTGTTTTTGTGTTTGTCTACTGTACGTGTAAAATGTGTAAAATCAATCAATAAAAACTATCTGATTTTAAAAAAAAAAGGGAAAAGGATCAATGCTTATGAGGGGTCCTTAAGGGACCATGGCTTACTCCTAAGCTGTTAAAACATTGGTGTCCTCCATATACTCTGTGCCTAGTAATCAAGGGGCATCCATAAGAGCAAAGTATTTTTGGGGCTGAGTTATAAAGCTTCCACCAATCGTGTAGCTGGACGAATGGCCTTCGCCTGGCATTATAGGTAAAACATGCAGGGTAATGCACTACCATGCTCTGCGTAGGCAAAAATGCTCAGTTTTTCTTTTTAACATTTTTGTGCATTGCCAACCCATTCATGTGAATGGTCTGCCTTAATGCAATGCATATTAACGCACAAAAAATGCTTCTTGACACGTTTGCGCTAATTTGCCACACCAAGATGCCAAGATTTGAATGGACTCTGATGCTTTTCAAACAGCCTTGATATATATAATTGGTTTATTTTAGCTATTTTTAGTGTAGCCTAATTGGTAAAAAATTTTAATTAGACAAAAGGGCATCCTGATAATGTGTGCTATGTCATACATTCTAGGCATAAGACTCACCTCTATGCAAACTGTATGGTTCTGCAATGATTGGCTTCAGATTATAATGATCTAACGAAGCTTTGTAAACATCTCCACTATCTAGGAACATAGCATCTGCTTGTCCATCCTGAAATATGTTAATAAATCAGTTTTTACTGGAAGTGAATTTTAGAATAATCATAATCATAATATCAGCTACCATAATGTGTCTATGATAAAGGGAGCCAAAAATATTCAAAGGTATTTAACTGCAAAATTAAATAAAGTATTGGCTTCATAAGCTATATGACAGCCAGGGGTGTTAATAGCTTAAAATTAAGGGCTCATTCTTAGGGATGTGCATATCCATATGGTGTGCCCGCACTTGGACACACACTGCTTCCACACTGTCTGAGTCCAAGTCCAAGAAATTTAGGTCAGCATGTAGCTGCGTGCAGGCCAGCAGGGAGGTACTGGTGGCTGCACGCAGTTATACACAGCTCCTGTCCCTTTTAGGAGCTGGTTTCTGCACAGGTGTGCATGCTGTACGGATGTAAATGCCTGTGTGAATGAGCACTAACTGGCAGAATGATACAAACACTGAGCTGGCACAATTACTGAGTTGATCAATCAGCGTTGATCAACACAGGCTCAATATGAATGGAAAATGATTCTTCATTATGTGCTCTATTCAAATCAGGTATTGGCCAGGATGTGAACGGAAATCTCCCCAGTGGGACACAGATGGCCAAAACAACTTGACAGGGGTTATAGCCCTCCCTTTCTCCATCCAAAACTAAAAAAAGTTTTGATTTATTTGTTATCCATATATAACCAATGATCATAGTTATAAATGTTATGCATCCTTATTATCCTGACTTATAGTGGAAACACCATATTACACATACAATACAATCACCCAAAAAAATGGGCTGAAAATCTCGGCTTATACTCGAGTATATACGGTATCAAATAAAATGTCTGAATAAGCAACATGTGGAACAGTTAGGCTTTGTACATGGTGGTAACCAAAGCTTTGTAGGGCATTTAGGCTTTGTAGGACAAGACAACCAGAGTGCATGAAGGGCATTTAGGCTTTGTAGATTGAGGTAACCAGAGTTCACGTAGAGCATTTGAATCTGTAGACTGAGTTATCCAGAGTTAGGACATTTGGGCTTTGTAAATTGAGATAACAAGATTCTTATCAAGACAAGAAGACCAATCTACTGTTCTTGGCACAATCTAATAGAAGTGGAGGGTGACATTTTTATCTGATTTTTTAAGTTAATTCAAGGTTAGACATATGGTTCTATTGTTCAAATCCTTATACATAGGGCCAGTGTTCTGGTAGAATCCTGGACCCGTTAGAAATCTGGACCCGCGCCTCACTTCCAGGGGCATGGAGGGGGCGTTGGCCACAAGCACAAGCTCTGAGCCAATGATCTGGGGGGGGGGGGGGGGGGCGTGGAGGGGACATCGGCTTAACGCACATGTTCAGACCGCCTGATCGGGACCACAAATTTAACTGCAAATTGCGCATGTGCTGGGAAGAGGATGCCTTGTCTGTAAATGATCTGGACGTGCTTCCCTGCACATGTGCAATACAGGCAAGTAGCCTGTGAAATTTCTGGACCCGATCATCTCTTCTGCGCTTGCGCAGATGGGGGGTCCAGATTACTAACAAAGTCTGGGATTCTGTTAGAACATCAGCAAGCCCATATTCTTCGACATTCGTGAATTGCTGCTTGTTCCTGGGCGACTGAATAAACCTACTTCTTGAAGATCTGCCCAGTGTTGATGCTCCGTTTATTATATTTGAGTGTGAATGGACAAAGGCAATGCAGAAAACAATAATCTTATTGTGTAGATTAGAATGTTGTCTACTGTATTCAGTCAATGGTGAAAAGTGAGTTCTAATTAACTGATTAATGTAGGATATTAATCTTTGCACACTGCCCTTTTTCATATTGTTTCATGTATGAATGCTTTGTATAATATTATATTTATATCTTCCTGAGTATCCTTAGTGTGTAGTGCGGTAAATCGATGTTACAACTGTATACATCAGTAATATCTATTACCTTTATAGCTGCCATACAGTTCTCAGTGGACGATCGGTACACACACGCAAGGGTAATGTCAGGGACATTGCAGGATCCCACTAGATCATTGCACTTCTTCTGCTCAAGATGTGATATTGTACACCACTGAACGTGTCTTGCATCTGATGCTGCAAAGCTCAAGCCTAGATAAAAGTAAATATATAGAGATGGAAAATAATGATTATATACCACATGTAGTGGTATACGTACCATAAATACAAGCAATGTGGTGTTAGTATTGTCATAAATGATACATGCACTATTGTTTTAAAGCTAATTAAAATGGAATTCCACCACAGAACATTAAACAGCCATATAACCTGTACTTTGATATTAGCATAGCACCATGTTTGACTTCTGACTATGTTCTGCTTTTTCATAGTGCATATAGAACAGCTAAACTTACCCACAATGGTGAAATATAGGGCTGTGTGGAAAGTCAGAGCCATCCTCAGTTTCTCCTGCGTACCACTACAGCAGTCCAACTTTCAGATAATGTCCTGACTAACCCCTCCTTTATATGAGAGAATGGTTGACCGGGCGTGGAGATCTGTTGTCCTTGATCCTTGGTATCTGTAAACAGACACTGTAATAGACACAAAAATAACCTTTTTTTATGTGACAATATGCTGTGTTAGTCCTGTCGGGTCAACCTTGGCTTGTTTGGGTATCTGCATGTCTTTGTCTCTGGGGTTTTACAGCTGACTGTATAAATTAAAGACAACCAATGCTCAGAGAATAGAGGGGCTGCCATTGCTGATTTCCTTTTTAAATTGATATGTGCCTGGCTATCATGCTGATTCAATTGCTTCATTACTTTCTGACTTCCTGACACAGAACAAATATTTAGCAAGTGGGGTCAGAGCTGATATGTATACTTGTCCTCAGTCAGAAGATAATAAGTGGATAATAAGTGGAGGAGCTACATGCAGGGGCGTCCCTATATCCTTTGCCACCTGAGGCCAGGAGGGGGGGGGGGGGTTGTCTGTGCTGGCAGTGCAGATCCAAGGGGAGGACTTGGTGGGGTGCTTTGTGCAGGTGATGCAGGTAAGGGGGGTGTGGGGCAGTGCCTCTGTCTGGCATACCGTCCAGCTCACTGATTTCACTGGTTGCCAGGAGCTGGGCAGGATCCCAGCCAGAGCATCCCTCTCAGCTCCTGGAAACCAGTGATGGTAATGAGCTGGACAAGACACCGGGCAGAGCTTAGAGAGCTTATCAACCTGTGACGCCCCATGCAACCTAAAGAGATGCCACCTGAGGCACCTGTCTCAGGCTTCCTCACAGTAGTGACGGCCCAGGCTACATGCCTGGTGTGGAAGAATTGTCCCTGGTAAACGGCTTAAAGATTGGAGCTAAACAGAAGATCTTACCTGATTGTACAATGAGGGTCAGGTGGTAGCAAGGGGTCGCATGGGTAGGAGGTGCAAGGGACGCAGGGAGTCCTTTTTAGAAGGTTGACGACAGAAGCAGGTAGTTCCACCTGCCCTTTCTTGTTCACTGTTGATGGCAATTGGACTAAATACTTTGAGGGGAAGTTAACAAAACTGGAGCAGACAAAATCTGGAGTAGTTGCCCATAGCAACCAATCAGATTCTATTTTTTATTTTCAAAGCTCCACTAAACAAAGAGAGATGCTGATAGGTTGCTATGGGCAACTGCTCCAGATTCTGTCTACTCCATTTTTAATAAAAATCCCTCCTGTAAGTGTTCGTGAGACAGAGCCTGCTGGTGAAGTGATGAACAGTCTCTTTGTGCAGAACTGGGATCCTGAGGATACTGTCTTTGTGATGCTTGTTTGCTGTAGTGGGTATATGAAAGTGGTAGAGACACAACATTGTGAGTTTTCATACGTTTATAGGACAGGGAGGGACTGTAACTATGAAAATGCAACAATGAGTACTGTCAAAAAAAGTCTGTTTTATTTAAATATGTGGCATAAAAATAGAAAAAAATAAATGAAAACTAACTTGCATGTAACTATGTATGCAAGAATAAAACTTCTAGCAATCAATCCATACGCAGTTTGATTACATATATAAACATACAGTATCTTCTTGGGGCAAAGAATCTTAAAGGAGAACTATGGGGTCAGTGTTTTTCCCCATAGTTCTCCTTGGGGTAACGGGAGGACACAAACTAGCGTCCTCCCGTCACCCTAAGCTCAGTATATCCGCTCCAGGAGATGCCGCACCTGGAGCGGATCCCGACTTAGGCAGATCTAGAGGCAGAGCCAGCTGTACCCGCCCACTCCCCCGTCCGTTCCGCCAGTCAGCGCTGGCAGATCGGAGCGGGGAGAGGGGAATCCAGCCCCTCCCCCTGTCACGGCAGAGAGCCGTGACAGGATCGAGAGGTGAGGGAACCCGGTATGTGTTCGCTCACCTCCCGATCTACTGAGCCGACCTGTGACAGTCTCATTGTCACAGGTCGGCTTAGAACTATTGATGGCAGCAGCATGTCTCAAAAAAGTTGGGGCAAGGCAACAAAAAGCTGGCAAAGAAAGTGGTACTAAAGCTGCCCATACACCTGACGATTATCGTACGATAATCGCGGGTGATCCCGCGATCGTACAATAATCGTAAGGTTGATGGCAGCGTGCGGCTGCATTTACTGTACGGTCGCACGATTTTCGTATATATAGCTAGCACGCTAGAAAACCCGCCGAAAATCGTACGATTATCGGCGGGTTGGTAGCGCGATCGCAAGACGAAAGCCGCACGGCCCGAGGTGCGCAAGCGCACACTGCCCGCTCACCACTGCAATCATCTGCAAGGCCCCCCCCCCTCAGCGGGGAGGGCTTGCGATGATCGCAAGTACAATTTGCCTGTCCAAGATGGGCAGGTCGTACGAACTTTTAATCACCTTACAACCTTCGCACAACAAAAGTCGTGCAATGGTTGTAAGGAGTATGGGCAGCTTCACAAAGAAGAGCTGGAAGAACATTTTGCAACTAGTTAGGTTTATTGGCAACAGGTCAGTAACATGATTGGTATAAAAAGGGCATCTAAAGCCGGCCATACACCTTACAATTACCTGCAGATTTTCCCTGGTCAGATGGAAAAAGTGCAACAGATTCCTCCATCTACGCTAAACTGCGTGGATAGAGGAATCTCCCACTGGGCCAAGCTTCAGTATCTTGCTAGTCAGCCCCCGCTGGCTCTCAAAACACCTGAACAATGCCTGCATTCAATCAGACTGTTCAGGTATTTTGGGAGCCAGCGGGGCATGCTAAAGCAGAGCTAAATGTACAGTAGGAGCCACTGCTCGTTTAATATGAGTGATCTAATCAGATCACTCGTATTAAAACCGAGCAGCGGCGGCGATCAAGATCACCATAGAGCCCTTTGAGCAGACGAAGAACGGACGTTCTTCGTCTGCTCTGTGTGATCACTGAGACCATGGCGCTGTAATCACAGTGCCACCTGTCTCAGGGGTTACTAACTGCAGCTTCTGTCACAGCAGCTCTGGTCTGTTCAGTGCTCCATAAGGCACACCGGACCTCCCTGCGTCCTATGGTCCGGTGCGCTGTATGGAGCGAAAAATACGGTAAATCGCTCCAAAAATCAAGACTGAATGCATCAGCAATTTTTATGGCCCTTTTTCATAAAGCACCTGCCTGGCGGTGATGGGTGTACAGGCCAGATTCAGCATGGCAAGGACTCATACATGTACATCTCCAGCCATATAGGTACAGCCTATAATATACCATGATGACACACAGCGGTCAACATATGTGCTCTACCTGTTACAGTTGAAGTGACAGTGTAAAAGGGAATTATATCTTCTCTAGTTGTTGTTTTTTTTTTACATACTCTGCTTTGTGCATTACTGACAATGCTTAGAACTTTACCCACGTATTTGTACTTTGTACAAATTATTAGTTAACAATATTAACTAAAGTGCAGATCAATGACCTGACTGCCTTCTGCTATATCCTGCCAATGCCAAAATACTGTGTTCTCATTTTGAGGTCATATGAAGTAGCACTAATGCATCAATGGTCTCGTTCCCACCTTGGCGTATTTCCACCCGTCCCTAACGCGCTACAAAACGGCCCACGCCTGTAAAGGTATAGGTACTACTTTGGGACGTTTTGTTGCCGTTTCCATTGGATACAGCCAAGTAGCCTTCGGAAACGCGCGTTTGTCGCTCGACTTTTTTATCGCGAATCGCGGTAAAAAACGGTTGCGCGACAGACGCGCATATGCAATACGCCTAGGTGTGAACGAGACCTCATTGTCACAGGTCGGCTAGAACTATGAGATGAGTGAAAAGCACTCACCTCATTCTCCTTTAAATGTTTAAACTGAAGCCGGCACTGTAAACAGTAGGGATGCACCGATACTTTTCAGATCAGATACCAGTGCCGATACTTGGCATTTTCATGAGAACTACCAGGGTTGCAGCGGTTGCAGCTGGGACCTGGCTCTGGCGCTCCACCACTGTCCTGAAATCATTAGTCTGTATTGTTTTAGAAAAACTGTCACATGACAATAAACAAAAATGTATCAGTACTTGTATCTGTGAGTACTTGGGCAAGTATCAGTACTTGCAAAAATGGTATCAGTGCATCACTTTATTTATATTTATAAAAACAAAATCATACGTTAAAACAGAGATGTACAAATCCCAGGAGCTCAGTTTGCTCCTTACAAATGACAGCTGCCTCCTAACTTTTGAATTTTTCTCTAGTCTAGTCTTGGAGCTCGAAAAGTATCTGTACTTGTACCGAGTACGGTACTTGATATTGGTCCATCCCTAGTAAACCGGCACCGTGATTCACAGGAAGGCTGCTGAGGTTCCCAGCAAGGGTCCCGGCAGCCTTCCTGTGAATCGCTGAGCCTGTTTACAATGCCTGCAACAAATCTACTTCCTATGTATCCACACCGCACACACTCACCTGCAAGACCGACTGGGGCACCTGGTGAGACCACTAAGACCCTGCACAGCCACCTGAGAGTCCTCACAGCCCACCATAGACCCAGCATAGACCACCTGATAGTTTGTACAACCCACCATAGACCCTGCATAGCCCATCTGAGAGTCCTCACAGCCCACCATGGCATCTGCACAGCCACTGAAGAGCCTGCACAGCCACCTGAGAGTCCACACAGCCCACCATACACTCCGCATAGTCCACCAGAGAGTCCGCACAGCCCACCATAGCACCTGCACAGCCCACTATAGTTCCCACAAAGCCTCCTGAGATCCTCCACTTGAGACATCAGGCCGGCACCCCAGAGCAGCACAGAGTATGTAGCTTCATATTATTCTGCATTGATGTATAATGCATTGCTGAGATTTGTAGTCCTCTATAGTCGATTGCCCTTTGGCATTGCTGTATAATGTATAACTGGGATATGTAATCCTCTCTAGCTGATGGCATTATTCTGCATTGCTGTATAGTGCATGGCAAAGCTTTGTGATGCATTTGCCGTGCGTTGTGATACCT